GGTAGGTCTTCTACTAACACTTACCCATTACATACATCATTACCAACCAGAGCATAAACAATTAACATTGGAACATCTAACGTCTGATTTCTTGCTAAACTGAAGAAAAAAAATACGCCAGTATTAATAGTTATAAATGGGAATACTGAAATACAGAATATACTCAGGTATCGGATGTCGAGTGCACTGTTATGCATTAGTCATAATATTTCATTACTATAGTATATAAAGTAAAATAACAAATGATCGGAATATATAATATCTGTATCAGTATGCCTGGAATGGTGTTTTATGAGTATGAAAGTAGGTAAAATAATTGATAATGAAATGACCTTGGGAACAAATATAAATGCCACTCGGTCCAAATGGTCCATTAGTTACTAATAAGGTCTGGCAAGTTATAATGTTACTGGGTGACAATATAATAATCGTATAGTCTCGTTTGTACAAGTCTTAGCATTTATGCTTGCTTAAATATTTGGCATAATTATATAATGAAATGCGTACTTATTCGCCAGACCGACTTATAAAATATAAAAACATTGCGAAAAACAAGCTAAAACCTTACCTGTACATTATTCTTGAAGCCATTGTAGCAGATCTTGCTCCTTTTAAAACAAAGAAAATGATCACATATATGTACACATAAAATTAATATTGAATGTCTCCTCTATTTAACAGAAACGTACCGTGAAAGTAGAGGACATCCCAACTCGCGGGACATTCCTATAATTACTATGCTTCTGATTGATTTAAAGAGACTCATAATTCCGAATTAAATTAAGTTATATATTTAGAGGAGGAAAAGAGATCTTTAAGCTTCTAAAGCAAATATTTCGACAATTATATTAATTTAAATTTTGTTTTTCATTCGATAGCAATTTATATGATTATGTTTTCTGTATGTTGATAAATAAATAAGCTACAATACCTGGCTAACATGAAGCAAAGGAAGCAAAACATTTTTAATCAGCGTGGAAAAAGACAATAAGCATCAAGATAAAGCAGTGGTAGAAATCTGCATGTAGAAGAAAATAAATGTGAGGCATGTGCATTGCAAGGATGTTTTTAAGAGGGTCAGCTTTTAAAGACTGCAGTATTAACGGCTGGTGCATCGCCATGACCAAATATTGATTTCACACAATGTTAATTTTGATGATACAAAGGACTTGGGTTGACAATAACCGTAGATAATCATTTCAAAAGCATTCTTGAAAATTTGATAAATGAATGAAATTGGACGGGCTAGATATGTTTCAAACAGAGAAATTGACTGAAAATACATACCATTGACTGCAATATTTTGATAATCACCATAATTACATCGATTCCTTTCATATAATCTTTGATATATCGAATCCATTTTACCGTGTACAATGTTAGGCCAGGAATTGTTTACGTGACCTAAAAAGGACATTATTCTCATTAAACAAGGCAGAGTTTGATTCTTGGCATCGCTGCATTGCAACTGGTCTTCCTCCAATCATTGTCAATTTACATTAGAGATGGAGAAGGTACCAACTAACAGACTTCAATGAAAATCATTAATAAGGGGTCCTTCAATGCATGTACCGGTATATATGCATATGCATTAATATCCATTTTGTAAGATTTTTTCGTGTTCGGATAATCCCGGCTGGAGAATATGAATTGAATAGTCGTCGTCCTTACCTGTCGCTGTAGAAAGTTCTGGCCAATCAATCTCATTTTCCAAAATGAATACAATATCTTTAAACACATCCTGAAGGTAAGATAAAATGATGTTACGGTATTCATTGGTAGCAATGACGATATCGTGCAACAAGGCACCATCAACTACAGATTAAGAATTGTATACAGATCTCACAGGCACCTTTAAAGATGTCAGCACCATAGCCAAGTCTGCCATGAAAGTCTCTATTAAAACGATATGGTTTTCTTAATATTTGCAACACCAGCAGATGGAGTTTAGTTTTTATTAATTACCTCTCGCTAATGATCGTCGTGATTAAGCTCTCTTTGCTGGAGCCTTCAACGCACAAGTTGGTTATTAAAGGGGTCTAGTTCTTTGAATATTTACTTTCGTGATTCCATTTCAGACGTGAAACACTTGTAGTCAGATGGAGTTAAAAATTCAGAAAGTACCTCTGATAGCTTCTGTGAATCAAACCATTCTTCAGGAAGGTGAAAATGTGCTGAAACTGAATCACCCAGGACAGCAATACCTTTAGGTTGAGATTGACCACAAAATTCATCTTCATAAGCCTTTCCAGTTGTTGGATCCTTTCCCTGGAAAGTATAATAGACATGTAATTAAAAATTCAATGTCCTCCTAGTGCTAGATCAAACCTCTCTTTCGTTTGTTGTTCAATCTCTGTTGTACATGAATTATGTATGCTGGGTTCTGACATTTTGGTTGTGTGCTCTAAAAATGTTGTATATAATCCAAATAATTAACTAAAGCTGACTTATAACTTACATATATGCCATTACAATTAGAATCATATGAAGTATCTGAATCGATGGCTCTAAAAAAAAATAAAGTAACTATTATGTAGATGAAGCGAACAAAGATATATACATATATAGTACTACAGCTACTGATATATCACAAAGAAAAGCAAAACATTATCTCGTCCAATACACCCACCATCTCTGACATACCATCCGCCATGATAGAATTTTTGACTCTTTGACACCAGCAAAGATAGCATCTCTAACTCTTTGACACCTGTCAAGATATCATCTCTGACACCCACCATGGTATGATTTGTGACACTCTGACATCTATCATGATAGCATCTCAGTCACTCTGCCATGAAAGCATCTTTGGCTCTTTGACCTCTGCAATGTTAGCATCTCTGGCTATGTGACATCTGCCGTGATAGCATCTTTGGCTCTCTGACTCTCTAACACCAGCCATGATAGCATCTTTGGCTCTCTGACATATGCCATGAGAGCATCTCTGGCTCTATGACTCTCTGACACCCGCCAAGATAGGGTCGATCTCTGTCTCTCGGACGCTCTAACGCCAGCCATGATTGCATTTCTGGTTCTCTGACTCTCTGATACTCGCCATGATAGCCATGTTTGGCTTTCTGACTATTTGACACCCGCCATGATACGATCTATGACTCTCTGACACCCACCATGATAGATCTATGACTCTCTGACTCTCTTCCACAAGCCATGATAGCATATCTGGCTCTCTGATTCTCTGACACCCACCATGATACGATCTATGACTCTATGGCACCCGCAAAGATGGCATCTCATAAACGTTTTCGAATTTTCCTCGTGTGAACTACGTACATGTATATTAAAGCAAAAAGTTATGTTTAATACCTTGCTCCGGGATGTCTTGAATGATTACTATCATCACAATCTCGACCACGCCATGAAGTTCCTCTCAAAGTCTGTAATGCAAGACATTTTGTTTGTATAGTTGTTGAGCATAATGTTTTAATGTATCTAACATCAGTCTGCAGTGAGTGCAGCAAGTCCTGAAATCAAGATGTTACAAAACGAAACTAACCTCAGCGATGCTGAATCCATCACTATCTAAATCTACGGCAGGATCATATCTATTAAATACACTGAAAATAAAAGCATTGTTAAGAAGATCGTTCTCTGTTAGTTAACTCTTAATTGAACGTTCAATTATCTTTGCCTCGATGACGTCGTGTTTTTGTCGAACCAATAAAAAAATATTATTGATCCATGCTGATAATTAATTTGATTGGTTATCACAATTTTAAAACTAAGCCGCATAGAACACATGGCAATAAGTAATTATTACAGATTCTTTCCATGTTTTCATGGATCTGCAGTAAATCAATAATGGAGTTATCCAATTGTACTAAACAACTAAGGATAACTATATCCCACCAGTACTTACTCATCAAGCCAAAGACAAATATCTTTAATTCCAGGGAGTTCACATATCTTTGGATCTCCTGTTTGCTACAATAAAATATTGATGACATAAATTACCAATAAACTATTGCATCATTTGGGTTGGAACATTATCTTTTGTAATATTGAGGGAGAGACTAAAAAACTATAATCACACTGGAAAATTTCTTCAAAATTGTGTGTGCATACTTACGCTGATTTCATGTAAAATACTTACAAAATATGGGTATTTCTTCAGAAATTTAGAAATTGTTGAATGTGGCTTGGAATATCCCTTCTGTAATAAGAAGTTCATAAATTCAATAGTATGCTTAGTTGACAGAATTATTTCTGGTATATGAAAAGTAAATTGAAGTCATCATGATTTTAATGAACTGCAATAAGGTAAATTTTTAGAGAAAAACCAATAATATTGCCCCTAGATGTCTGGATTTACAAACAGCGTTGGTGGCAAATAATAGTTTCGTTTGTTTGTTTCATATGACTGCCCATGATCCATTAGCCACAATACGCTGTATGTCATTCGATCTTAAACATCATGACAGTACCAATCGTTCGACACTGATTCTTGTGGTGGGTGATTGGAAGACAAATTACGAAAAGTCTGAATACCTGAGTACGTTTAAACAAGACACATTGTCGTCCTCCGTCATCGTTACAAAATCTTAATGTACGACAGGCGTTATCTGGTGACGAATCTTGGGTTATTCTGAAAATAAAAAACATGGATAAATGTCTCTTTGTAAGCTTGCTAAAGCTTTGTACCTCTTTGACCATCTTCAGTCCTGGAGGTTGGTTGTCTCAAAAAATTAACGGAAACGACGAAGTACTATTGCATTTAAGAGGCATGCTCGTCATTTGTTTGACCAATCGTACCTTTGTCTCAGAAAATGGATTTTTGAGCTGAACTAATCAGTAATAGTGTTCACAGATCACCGACGAAATTTGAGCATTCAAATCCATGTGTGTCCAGAATTATCCGCACTTGAAAGTTAAAATGACGACTCGTCTTTTCTTAAGACTAGCCTACATCATATATATAGTAAAGGCATACATAAAAATAGAACGTGAAATTTCTCATTTGAGGTATATTCGAACGTATTAGCTGATTTTCGAGAAGAATGCTATCAAGATTTAAAAAGTATCTTACAGAATCACAGTAAATAATCAGTGAAACAAAACAACTTACAATTCTAGTATTATGGGACCGATAAATTCGGAGAAAACATCACAAGGTGTTTGTAGTTTAGCTGGAAGCATTAAACATACTCTTTCTAAAGCTTTGACAATGGTTTCATTATGAACATCGGCTAACTGTTCTAATAATCCCACTACAAGAGTACAACCTACAAAATATGAAACGATGCTGTCTGCAGTAACAGAAACTATGGTGTTATGTACCTAACTGTTGGCCCAATGGCAGTTTTCTAACGACAGATTAGATTCTAGTGTCTTTTCGTTAGCTACATGAGTGTATAGTTTGAGAATTTTAATCATCGTTTCGCTTTCTACTATGTGTTTTAAAAAACTACCACTTGCACTACAATGAAGTATATAATATTGTGGTTGAAGTTAAAAGAATCGTATAAAATATTGTGTGCTAGCAAGGAGATTGTGAGTGGCGATTGTCTTTGTGGTCAGAATTAAATCTTAAAACTTTCTTAGTTTCCACAAAAAGTCTGTTTGAATCACAAAACACCGTATAATGAGTTAAATGCTATAGATATGCCTGTCTGGTTTTTTTTTTACTTTTTTTTCTTTTTTAATTAGATTGAGGATAGGGGGTACTAAGATTGTTATTAGCCTATATAGGTTATCTTTAAGTTCAGATTCTACAAATCATATGATTTAACATTGTTCTTTGATAACTTATCAATGTTCTCATATCTATGTAAAGTACCTATTTCAGTGTCATTCATTCAATAATCAGTGATCTCAAACTTTTTACCGTCTCCATTTATTCTTTCACTTACTTTTTCGTTTTAGGCCTTTTTATTCATTCATTTATTCACTCATTCATATAGGCCTACATATAGGTTGTTTTGTTAAACCGTAAGAAAATGATATCCTCAATTTGGCAACTGAAAACTTCCCTTTCTTGACAATAGATCCCGTAATTCGTAATGTTATAAAACTCATAGATGGGCCTACTAAAGAAATTAGTTCAAAAGGTGTGAGTCATGGGTTTATGTATTTTTTAAGGGAGTGGCGGGGTGGTCGGAGTATTTAGATGATTTTCCTTTTAATATTTGATATATTCAAAACACAAATTTTACATTGACAGATCAAGGAAGTCCAGGTTTGATATTCAACTGTACAGGGAACTTTCTATAATAGGTCTATAACTTCCTGGTCTATCTGGCATATCACTTTCGAATATATCTTTCTGCTGGGGTGGGGGTGTTTGGGCTTATCTTTTATATTATTAGCCTACCTCCTCGACCTTATCACAGGCCATCGTGCCTTTAGTTTGGCAGACGATGTGACGAAAGTGAGCTATATAAGAAACTGTCATTGCTTGAAAAGGCATATATAACTTATCTTTCGACATTAGCTAAAAAATAATCTTATTACCTGCACAATTTGTTCCTCCGTTTATTCCTCGACCAAGATTTAAGAAACTAGTTGAAACTAAGAATACACAAGACAATGTCGTTATAATTGCCAATAATCTTACACCCGTCATGGTTGAAGTCTGATTTCGGAAGTAATAATGCGATGAGTTCGTTATCTTTCATTTTCTTTGTATTTTTCTCGGATATTTATATCATATCAGAAAGCTAAAAATAAAATATGTTTCAAACTGTCAATTCAAACCACGTGGTGTTTATGTTTACAAAGAATTGTGATTGGTTGAATTTGAACTATTTATAGAATCCACGAACCAATGAAAAACGTACCAAGTACTTAGTTTTCATAAGTTCGCGAGATTCTGCGTGATTTGAACCGCCAGATTCAAAACTTGAAAATAAATGGCGTGAAACTGAAGTATTTACCGTAAGCACGATTCATCCACGATTATTTCACCGATAATCTTCTATCTGCACGTGTAAAATGGATGAAGCTACTCAGGTAATTATATAGTTAACCTTGTTCACTAACTGGATTGCAATGAGAGTGTGAATTCTTCTTTGTTTTATGAACTAAACTTAATTTAAGATTAAGATTGGTTGACTTTTTTTGAACCCTATTCGCTTTTGTTTTGAAAACAAGAAAACAGTTCACTTCGACTCTTCACTTTATTGCGTTTTTTCAAAAGGGTAGCATTATTATTAGTTTTGTTTCAATTGTGGTGAAATGTGCTTTATTTGTAGTTTTATTAAGCTTAGAGGTATATCTTACTTGGGCTAGGCCTAGTGAGAGATTGAAAGAGGGCTTGGTTTTGGCTGACTTAAGACTGGATTTTTACTTAATTGTATTCTTTCAACAATACTTTTTAGACAAACTCTTTAACTTTTGCTGGTGTCATTGAAATAGGGTAGTCCCGAATGAACCTCAAACCTGAGATTAAGAAGATTCGTACGTAGGATGGGCTACACTTTGTACTTTGTTCTCATAAGTGTTAGGAACTGAAATTCATCCAGATCAATGATCATCTGTTTTGTTGTTGTGATTGGACAGAATCAAATCAAAAATGAGTCTTTCACAGTCGGATTCAGAATTGAGTTCGTCATCGTTTTGTGTTCAAATTGATGTCGATATTAAAGTTGATATGGCGGACTCAACTGCCATGAGTGAAAATTCACTATTTTCTGAATCAAGTATGATGATGTCAATGGATGTAGATCAAGAATCAGACACCACTGTGGATGATTCCAATCTGACAAAGGGTGGTGCTGAATTGGATCAGTCTGTAATGGTAAGTGTGTAAGCCAGACTATGCTGTTCACAAGTTCATCTGTTTTCTTGGGACATTTCTGCAACATAGGTAGCACTGTAGAGCATTGGGTTACAGTTCTTATGTTGTTGAAAAGATTTGAACTAGATGTACACGGTACCACAAATTTCTTTTGTATTTTTTAGTTTGCTTATTTGTAGACTAGTGATGTAAGCTTATGATATATTTGCATGAGCTCAATGACATTAGAAAATCATTGCCTTAATGGCTTAGTTGACAAAGTTGAAAAAAAAAGTTTTGGACTGGTCAGAAGCATTAATGCTACAAGCTTACAATTTATAAATATTTTAATTATGTTAATTGTAGACTAGTGATGCTACAAGATTATAATTTATGTTTCGTTTATGTCTGCCATGAAATTGAGTGTATGTTCATTTTGGATGTAGAATACTTTTTTTTATAATCTTAACTTCTCATAAGTTTACTTACAATTTCAGAGACTGATAGAGAGGACCAGGCAGAGGAGAGAAATGTTAAATGAGAAACTAGGTAAAACACCAGATCCAGCACCTAGAAAGCGAGGTGTTCCATTCTCAGAAAATCAATCCAATAATATTCAAGATGATGATGGTAAGTTCAGTCTTCTACCTTAAGATTTGCATCTGATAGCACCAAAGAACAAGTGTACTTTTTGGTTGTTTTTGATGAAGGTTCCAAATTAAAATGTCCTCTATAAAATGTTTTCTAAAAGCCACTAGTCAGTGTTCTTTATGAATTTTGTCCTAACAATACAATTGATAACTTGAAACATATGTAAGCTAGATTCGAAATGAATATGGTGCTATGGGTTTGAATCCTGTTCATGGTAAGAAAAATTCTGATGACTGTGCCCTGAGAGTTAGCCCAATGTCAGCTCTCACCTACTTATTCCAAATTTATTTTCTACAATTTTATGTATCGTTCTATTTATTTCTGACCCTTGTTAGGAAAAAGTTTTTAGAATATGTAAGCTTATTGTAAACCTTTTGTAGATTCCCCTAAAAGACACTGTAAACGTGAACCTGAATCTATGATTAAAACAGATACTCCAGCTATATCTAGTGTTAAATCAAGATTAGCTAAACTTAAAGACTACAGGGAAGAATGGTCAGATGTATCAGATGGAGGTATGTAACTTTAAGATATTCAATGAAAGTTAATCATGAAGTAGTCAGATTTTCGAAATTATGTTAATCAGAACCGCCCTATGTCACAGCTATAGCGAGAAGTCAATCTGGGAATATATGACCAAATAGGCTAGATTTATCACATTTTATGGCACAAATAATTGTTTCATTCAATATACGCCATAATTTTATCACATAAAAATCTAGACCAAATTTATTGGCTTTCGTCTTAAGCCCAAAAATCGTTATTGGCAAACATTTTGATTATGTGAATTTTAACCAATATCCTCCATTATTCCAGAAGGAAGATCACCTGTTCCTGCTCCAAGAAAAAGTTTATCATCACCTCCAATGGAGAGACGTGCTATGGAGGTAGAAGAAAATACAGTGCAAACTGGTAGTTCTAATCATCGTGGGGGAAGATTAGCTAAACTGGCATCTAATATAAATAGCTGGGAAGATGATATGAGCCATCCTACCATAGTGTGAGTGAAATTTTCACATCAACATACAACTTCCAATTTGTTCAAATTCGGCTGTCTTTGCCAACACTATCATCCATCTGATTATCATCGTTCATTTCATGGGCTTCACATAGTCATTTTTTTTCCATTGTAGTGCATGACATATTTTGCTCTGTTCTAATATCTGATTACAATAGATCAGTGTAACACTATGAAGTTTTGTTAACTTGTCCTGTTCTGTAGTTGCTTTATAATTGCTCTGTTAATAAACAAGAGATATATTATTTTAGTAAAGAAGAAGAAAAGAAGCCAAAATGGCAACCACCAAAACCAGTATCAAGTGAGACAACTCAACACAAGGGTCCAGCTCCAGAACCGCCCAAGCCATTAAAACATGTTGTCCCAGCTTCACCGAAGAAAACACATGCTCCACAACCACCACCTTTACCATCAACTTTCACCAAGTCATCTCCCATGAAAACATCATCAACAACTGTTGTGTCTGGAAGAACAACCCCTGCCAAACAACTAACAAGAGTTCCCTCATCCCCAATTAGAACTCCCCAGCCTGCTACCACCGATATACCTGTTAATGCCAAGGGATGGAATGAGACCTCGCCATCAGAACAAACAGATGATGAACCAACATCTAAACCTGTATCAGAGAGATTTGCTAAATGGGCAAAGAAAACGGACTCACCAAAGGTCGACGATCCCACTCAGACCCCTGTATCTGCTAGAATGGCAACTTGGCAACAGAAAGCTCTGAATCCTTCGCCAGTTTCAGCAAGTAAGAGACCAATTACGAAACAACTTAGCTCAACAATTGTTCAATCACATGCTAGCCCTGTATCTAAAGCTCCCGTTTCTCAACCCAGTGAAATGAATGTCCATAAGACAACTTCTGATGATCCTGCTTCATTACCAGTGTCCAGTAGAATGGCAAGTTGGCAAAAGAAAACGGCCAAACCTAAGACTGAAGAAGAACCTACAGCTTTTCCTGTTTTAGCTCGAATGTCAGCTTGGGAACACATGTCTTCATCTAATAAAGTGTCTTCTATCAAGAAGGTGACCCCAGCATCAGTATCTGCTCCTTCTAAACCTGCTCAACCTGTTTCTCTTGGATCTGTTATTACATCTAGCAATAAACTTACACAGAAGACACCACAGTCACCTAAACATAAGACTTTGACACCAAGTAAAAGCTTTGTAGAGAGTATTCAAGAAAGAGCTGCCCAGATCAATTCCCCAAAATCTACAGAGCAACCGAAATCTCCTCAGAAGTCATTTTCCCCAGCAAAAGTCAGCTGTACTATGAAAAGTGTTCAACAACGATTAATGGAGCAGACACACAATAGTGACAAATCACATGACTTAGTTGATAAGATACGACAAGAGAGGATGGCTGAATTAAATGTTATACAGAGTAGATGGAAGAATGGTATTCTTAGTGATAACAAGCAACAAGAAATGGTAGGTCTTTATATTGGTTTTTATATTGGAATTAGCGTCTAATGCAAAAATAATATGTATTTGTCAAAAATAAGTGTGATCAAAACTGTGTTTGATACTTTCTCTTACCTATTTAATAAGATTACAAAGAGATATGATAACTTCTAGTTCTAACACCTTTCAAGCTAATGGTTTCTAAGAATGATGAAGGTTGTCATTTGTAATCCAATTTGTATATTTATTTGTATTATGTCTTCAATACTTCATCGTAAGTCTCTACATATTATTTTTTTCAGACATCAAATCACCAAGGTGTACCTGTTCCTCCGCCCCCACCAGTACCTAGTAACAATACTATTAAAACACCCGGTGGAGGTAGTACAGTGACTACTGGTTCAACACCTAATGTAGCTGTCTCTAGTAGAGAGGCTATTAGAGCTAGAGCACGTGCAGGTAAATTTTCACTTTCTTTTAAGATATGTAAATATTTATTCTTAAACAATTAAGAGGTACAATACAGTTTTCAAAGCATCTGTACATAAAAATCTTCATGATTTCCAAGACTTTAGATTTAAAGTTTTCAGTCTATGGTTTTGGCATAATTTGGTTCTATTAAAAAACAATGACTCAGTTTGATTAAGAAATAGGATCAGATCATTTTGAACTTTATAAGGAACATTACTGAAACATTGGCCTTGGCTGGCTGTTTCAAATGTTCTGATATTCACTATTATCAGTTATGAACTCTTGGCTATTGATGGCCAAAACATTCAGTGTCCTATTTAATATTATTTTGTCATAATAGACAGTAGTGATGTTGAAATGGAAGAAACTGCTGATAATCAATCTCATAATGATGATAATGATCAAATGGATACCAATGAGAATGATGTTCTCAATGATCAAATCAAAGATGATTTTCTCAATGATCAAATCAAGGATGATGTTGTCAATGATCAAATCAAGGATGATGTTGTCAATGATCAAATCAAGGATAATGGCAGTGATAATGATAAATCTTGTCATGATTCAATGGATAATGATCATGAGTGTAATAAAAATGATAAGAAAGAAGGTATTCTGATCAACTAGTTGGTTATGGAATGCATAATATTCTGTGTTTGAAAGTTCTGTTCTTTTACACTGTTTACCTTTTGAGATTTCAGTATTTTTTTGGGTGATTTTTTATTTAGCATTTTAACTTTTTAACAGATCAATTGTTGCATATATATATATATTTTTGACTGATATGTTAATGACACATTTATTCCACAATTCTAAGTTATTTCTATTTTTACACTGAATATGTACAATGTCTAAACTTTTATTGACAAAATTTTCACTTTTTGCATTTATTCCACAGGCTTTGCATTTCTTTCCTTTTATTTCCTTTTTTGTCCTTAAAAATCTTTTTGCATTTAGGTTTATGCTGGAACTTACTGACATTTTTTTGGTATTTAATCTTCCAATTGAAATGTTTTTTATCTTTCAATTTTCTTTGTAACTTTTATAAACTAAAGCTTACATTAGTATTGATTATAATTTAAATTTAAGATAATAAAATATATTTCTCTTTGTACTCGGACGATGTAGATATGTACTATCTTTAGTGTTGAATTGTAAGCGTGTAAATTTTGATTCCAGATTTTGATGATAAATTGGCAGCAATGGGATTTGAAGTTGGACAAGATCCTGCCAGTCCAGTAGCTACTTATCACTTTAAGAAAGGTCAAAGTTCATCATCAAGTGGTGAAGAAAACAGGAAGGTACAAGGACTTCCTCCAAAACCAGTTACAACCAAGCCTCCACCTTCACCAACATTACAACAGAAACAGACAGCTGGACGTACTAACAGTATATATGGTATTATATCTAAACCGAAACCCTCCCAACACAATCCTGTACCCAGTAAACAGAAATTTAATGATAGTTTTGATAGTGATGATGATGACCAGGAAGTTGTGATGCGAAGAAAAGCTCAACCTCCACAATGTGAGACCACTGACACAGACCCTACAACAGAATCAGAAGATGATATGGTAGCTTCCTCAACTGAGTGTGAGTCAGAGTTCAACCCTGAACCACGACGAGCACCAGTTGAAGAGTTTTTTGAAGATGATGGTGATGATTTAAGTTTATGTCAGTTTGTACCAGCATCAGTAAGGAGAGAGAGTGTATTACCACATGAAGCTGGTAGTAACCGACAGAGTATGTGTAGTACTACTAGTTTTGATAGTTATGATGATTCAGTTGTTGAAGATTATAATAAACATATTAGGAAGAATTCGAAGAGAGTTGTCAAGGGAGCATGTAGTATGATAAGTGTTACCAGTCAGAGTAGTGCAGATAGCCAGGAACAAACATTTGATGGTGATGATGATGATAAAGCTGATATTGATGATCTGTTAGATGAAGCAATGGATTCTGAAGATTCTGATGCACCAGTTCCAGCACCGGTAAGTAATACTATAATGTGAAGCCAAAACTATTAAGACAGATGCAGGGTCTGTAGGGTTGATACAGGAAATGCTATTCTAAACTCTGAAGTTTTGAAAGGAGTTCTTTATTTCAAGAGGTATACATTGTCTGTTGTATTTTCAGAGAAGAAGATATGAACATAGATCAGAAGAACCAACTTCTCCATTGATTTACAGTGTCAGTATGTACAGATCTAAACGGTATGTATTTATGTGTCCATGACATAGATTCAAGGATCTTGCTAACAGAGATGAGAATAATATTATTCAATGGGATCATGGTTCATTTTACTGGTAGAGTCTTTACACATAAACTTGTATCAATGAAACAATCCAGTGTAAGCTTTCTTCTTGATTTATGAGTTCTTCAACACCTATTGTTTGTAAACTTAATCATCATTTCCATTTGAAGCTATAATGATGAGCCCCCGGCAGCTAAAATGAAGATTGTACGTAATAGTGATTATACACATAGTGGTGTAGAGGAAGAAGAGGTACAGATGCCACAACAACCACCAGCTCCAGTATCTAGAAAATCATTAAAAGAAAGAATAGATGAGTTACAGGAATTGGTCCAACAAGAACAAAACATTATAATGCAGACTAGTAATGCACTAAATCAGTGCTGCAGTGGGAATTCAGCTTTTGTTGGTTCTTCTGAACAAGTTGAATGCAATAGATTGTTGCTTATTTCTTGTAAGTACTAGCAAATATTTTTTTCTGCGTTGGCAATTTCAGAAATATTTCTTGCGCAGTTCAGCTGGGTATCAAATTCATCCTTAATACAGAATAACTAAATTCCTTCTTCTTGACCAAAGCATTATTTGAATTATCTGTTTTCAGGTCAGAAACGTCAAGCCTATTTAACAGAGATACAGAGATTACGTGATACTGGTAAATTAGAAGTTAATAATGGTGGACCTAAAGGCTCATTAACTATAAGTGATATTAGACTACCATTGAAGAAAGAATTTGTTACCAAAATTGGCTCTACTCAAGGTACTTTACAATCAATATTTTTTTTTAATTCCTTGATGCGGAGAAATACAAGCACTTCATTTAGAATGTTTTTTTTATTTTAACTTGCAGCTACCCATAATATGCATGAGAGGATTTTAATAACTTATTATAACATGCTTTAGATCAATAAAAATCAATATGACAAATAATCGTTTCTGATGTCTCGAGCATGTCCTAATAAGTTATTCAAATTCTCCCGTTTAGAATCATGGATTAAAGCAAGATAAAAAGCATGATAAAAGTGGAGTGTTGATGGGTCAAATTTCCACTTAACAGATTTTGTTTAATTTACCTTTCCCTAGCATAATGATCCAATGCAGATTGAACTACTTAACTCTGTAATATCTCAACTAAATATCATATAGACTGACATGGAAGTTATATTTAGATTGATGATACAATTATTGGTTTGATACATTGTCTATTACAGATACAATAACCTATTATTTTGTATTATTAATACATAATGGACCACAGTTGATATTTACTCAGATGTTGTCTACACATGACCCAATGATGAGAGGCAGTCTAGATTTCCCTAATCTTATTAAAATTAATGGTATTGATGGTAACTTTAATCTAGATATTGAAATCTTTGGCATGGTAAGTAAACCTCCTCAATAATTACCTTAAGTTTCATTTCTTTTTACTCATTTGCCTCCTCTGAAGTAATTTTGACACTGGCAGATTGCAGTGGTCTACGTCAACGACAAAATCTGGCATTTAAATATCTGGCATATGGATTGAACAGTGTCCAGACTTAAATTGTCGTCTAGAGTGCAAGTAATCCTATCGTATGTCAATCTCAACCAATTCTGGGCATATGTCAAAAGATCAGTCAGTGTGTGCCAGACTTAAACCATTCTTTGTGTTATTTCTCTTCCAGTCAGTGTCTAAGGAACAAATTGGTAAAGATAAGAAACGAAAGACACCCAAGAAAAGTAAAGGTGGTTTACCATGTAAGTTTCCTACTTTTTCATGTGCTTTAAAATCTGTAATGTGTCTTGTAATCAGAAAAGGAAGTAGACACACCAGTGCTGTTCTGAAACAATTTTGAATTTTTCCAAGGCTAATAACGATTTAATGTTTCTGTGTTTTCAGTACAGAGTCCTGGTGGTCCAATGGCTGTTAGAACAACTAGTTTCAGTTTAATAACATCATTGAATATTAATATGAAAAGTCTTGATAGAACTTCATTTGAATTAAACAGGGTAGGTTTTAATATATTTTTGTTACTCAGAATGCAAATGCAACATATTTATATATGCTCTAATTACACAACGTTATTAAGAATGACACTTCTAATTTGCACTGGCTCAATTTCAAGTCAAACTTTGATAGGTGAAGCTATTTGTAAATGCCCTAAACTAAAACCTGACATTTTATAGCCATTGTATGTATACAGTCATACTGCTGTTATGTTTATGCTTTTAATGTAGATTTGACTTTAATTGTTATAATTTTTCAGTTGCCATATTTATCACCATTACATGGTACAATATTTATGAGATTGAAATGCTTAATGGAAGCCAGTGTGGAAGAGAGAGGTTTCTTGGTGAGTTTTTAGATAAATTTTTCTTCCACTCATTAAGACAAGTCAATCCTTATTGCTTTGTCTTAAAAATTATTTCCCTTGAAAATTGCCTTAAATACATGTTATACATATTAACTTGACAAACCCAATCACAGAGTTGCATGAGGGGTTCTGGATGAGTGAGAGTGCCATGCTATGGAGCTCTAATTCAAGATGATTTGTGGACTCTAGAACTTAAAGCTAATAGGTTAAAATCTCTCTCTACTGAGTCCATGCCCCAATACAGTTCATATAATAAATTGGATATGGGAATCAATTTGTATTATTAATTCTACAGACTATGTTTGAAGATGTCAGTGGTTTAGGAGCCTGGCATAGAAGATGGATTGCCTTATCTAATAATAAATTATCATATTGGAAATATCCTGATGATGAGTCCAGAAAGGTAAGTTCATTTAACTCTGTCATCTCATTTAGCAGTGCTAATTTCTTTCTTAAATGTATCTCAAAAGTTAATCAAAGTTTGTCCAGTTTTTTGTGTATGTCATTGCTGATCGTGTTATTAATGAAACAATGTATTTTACCATTTTAGGATCCTATAGGATTTATAGATTTAAAGAGATGTATTACAGAGAAGATAGGGTTAATACCAAGAGATATTTGTGCAAGACCAAATACATTTGAATTGGTAACGGTACGTCAACCTGTCCGTGGTGAACAAGATACATTAGTTACTAAAACATATAATACTATGACTACACACAAGTAAGTTCTGATTTGTTACTTGATGCATAGCTAGAAAGCTTTACAGCACATATTAGTTACAGATGACAATTCTTATCATCCAATTAAACAGAGCTCATCACATACTAATGACCTATTTCAGATGCAGGACAACTAGTTTTGTAATGAGGTGTCTAAGTAAAGTAAGTGAACTCACTGTACATTAGTGAGGATTGAGGAATCTGCAACATAAATATTCATTTCGAACGTTATTTGCTCTATACTTTGATGTCTTGTATGAGTATATAAAGAACTATAATTTATTGCATTATATCATTTTTATATATTTTTCTTTTACAGAGTAATGTTATCAGCTGATACTAAAGAAGAAAGAATAGTGTGGTGTAACAAAATAAACAGAGCTTTGGTTAATATTAGAACCTGGAATTCAGACGCTTTACGACCAATTAAAACTAATCGTTAATTAACCAAGTGCAATTAATATTTAATCTATGGTGCATAATGTTTAGATGTGCTTTGTGTATAACATTCTTGCCAATATTTTTGAATACTATATATGGCAAATGTATTGAAATCAATGTATTAGCAAATGACTATATATCAGAAGAACTTTTCTTGAACTTAGCATTTTCACAATGTCAAGTTAGTACGTACTTCGTACTTATATCTTGACTGTAATACTTAACTTTCTGGTAACATGGAAGTCTGCAAAGGAAGCGATTGGGTTGGATTTTAGGCTTGTGAATTCAGCCAATCGGAGGCCTCGAATATAAAGCCATAATGTTTTCATCCTTTGGCTCTGATTGGCTCCATTCGCTGGCGTACAATCCAATGGTATCGCTGAATTTCATAAGTTGGTAATAGCTTGACATTGTGAAGATGGAATGTAGATGCCATTATTTTTCTAGTGCTTCCATCTTTAATTTTATTTAGGATTTTCTTATTTTTTGAGTTATCTTTAATCTATGTGTTCGTGTTGTCATTGATCATGTTTATTTAATCTCTACCTGTGATTGATCAGTGGTTTTTCATCTTTCCTCACAATCAATATAAACATGTGTATTTAAATTACTTTTAGTTAGATAATTGTCATGTGACAGTTAAAAGTATGTCTATGTCTAATTGGTTGGCGTAACCTAGTCTTACTTTTCACAATGAAAATTGGACATCAGTCACCCTAAATTCAAAAGTCTGAAATCTATTAAATTGTTATCACTTCTGATTCCTACAATAATTTGAAGTTGTAGATGAACCAGGTGTCAGATTCTCATTCAAGGGAGTGATACATATAGGGAATAATTAGACAACTTTGCTCCAAAAAGCTGTCCATTCAAACGTATCTTTCAATCTGTACTTTGTTTTCCACATGAGTAGCATATTTCTCCTTCTTAAAACTTTCTTTTCTTTTGAGTTTATCTGTTCAATGAACATTGTAAATTGTCTGTGAGGTCTATTTCATGTAAAATAGTGTAAATAAATGTAAAATATATCATTTATACTTAAAGGGATATCTGCAATATTCAATAATATCTATATATTTGTTATTTCATGTAACATATACCAATACCTAATTACAATATATAAATTATAAAAATTGTATTGAATAGTGACTGTACAAACTGGTCAAACTGTACAAAAACAGTATTTTGTTGACGTTTAATTCAGTTGTTGCTGAATTCAAAAATGAAAAATATTATGGAATATACAGATTATGGGCATTTTAAATATAACCATCATTTGTGTGCCCTCAGTTTTTATGTGGTTAGTGTTGAAGTTAATATTTGATGGTAAATTAAGTTGTATTATTATATAATGGTAAATATAAGATGTAATAAGTACTACTCTTTCAGTGATACTGCTACAGTATATCTGAGACCTATTTATATATGTATAAAATACTGTAGAAACTAAATAAACATATAATATACATTCTGCTCTATTTATTTATATGCAAACGTTGTCCACATATACAGAATTTAATAAGGTACTGGCAAAATTCATCTTACTGATTTCACTGTATTGTTCATTCTTCAAATCAAACAGAAGTCATTGCCTAATCAAACTCCTAAACCATTTCTTCAGTAATGAAAATATATTTGTGCTTATTTAAAGGGTATGTAAAGAGGTTTCTGTAAAAAAAAAATACAGGGTATCATGGACACCGATAGCACCAATTTGCACTACTCCAATTTTCAATAAGATGTTTGTGGTTCCTGCAATTCCACTTAAACTAAGTGTTTGATGTCACTAATTGAGAAGTGCCTTTTGAGATACAAGCAAATCTCACAATTAGTCATCAAACACTTATAATTTGTGGAATTGCAGGATCAACAATGTTATCAGTGTCACCAATGAAAATAAATTGAGAAACCTTACAATCCTTATTCTTATGTTCTAAACATAATTCTAAATAACTGGCTATAGTTTCAATTATAACTTATTCTGCACCAAAATGAAAAGGCGTTAAAAAACATAAAAATCTATCTAATGATTATAATAAATAAGAAAATACATAAAATGTATATAATATCTACAGTGGTAATGATACCCTGATAATTTTAATATCTTAAAAGCTGTTGTCAAGAAATCTCAAAGTTGACTAGGATTGGATAATCATTCGACATTGTACACAAAGATTAAATGCAACCATTATGTACATATTTCCATGAGTGAAGAAATAGCATTAATCTGTTCAAGATATAAAGGCATACCAGTACCTTGTTTCATTGCACAAAAACCTGGCACAGATTTGATTTTAAAAGTAATACAGATAGCTGAAAATCAAATCAAGATTTGGGGAATTTGGTTTTAGAAGTATCCATGAACAACATTACAAGGCCTATGCTTCAGAAGTATATAAACACTTAATTTCTTTAACTAAGAAAATTATAAGGAAAATCAGATAGTCATAATTTGTTAAAAATAACATGCATTCATGGCTTGATTTTGGCAAATGGTAGAATAAACCACTCTTTCACCAGTAAGAGTTCTTGCATCACTTCATAGTTCATAAACATACTAGTTATATTGATTAATTGTCGATCTTAAAGAATATAGAATTCATTAGTCATTTAAGTCAAAAATGTATCTCAGTTCACGATATACCAATCAAAATGCATATCTAACCCAAAAAGAACACTGATTCAACAAAATTAATGTTTTTAATTGTGCCACTTAAAAACTTTTATGTCAAATATGGCATTTGCCACATTTGCATTAATGTAGTTACGGCCTTGGACAGATAAACTTATTTAGATATTTACACACCATCTGTATCCATAATACAATCCCAAGGTATAATAATTTTACCATCCTCTAACATAGAATAATAATTAGATACATTAATCCTAGTGTTAGTTAATAAGACCCCAAGTTTCCAATATTCACTGATCAATTTCTCACAGCACGATATCATTTGTTGTGGCGTTATATTTTCATCTTTGGTTAATTCTTTTAACTGCAATATTTGTCGACATTCTTCTATCACTTTATCTTCTGCTTCTACATACCTGAAACAGTCATATTAGGTGTTGTACCAAAAAATGATTGATGTTCTCAACTTCTACTTTACTTTCAGAAAGGAAGTGACTATTCCTACCGCAGTCTACTATATGTAGTCTGACATAACTATAGAAAATTTATTTCAAGTTACAGCAGTGCAACAGCATGACTTGTTTAAGGCAAGGTAGGGATGGCCATATCTTGCATTTGTTGAATATAGTCCAGCTGTCTTCAGGATCTTTGTTAGGCATAAGGGAATGAGAGCAGACATTGGTTGACTCAGGCATTAGAATATTTTTCACTTTGAGGAGTATTTGAAGCTTATTAATATTCTTATGTCTTCTTATTCAATAAGTCCATACCTGACATTATCTCTCAATAAAACACTAGCATGTTTCTTGTTTTTGGCAATAAATTCTACTATCATTGAACCTGGTAAAGAAGCAGGTATTAAAAACTGTCCACATTTAGAAACAGCCAAGGGACCAGCTTCACTGAAATTACAGAATGTATTATAATGTTATGGGAAACCCTACTGGGACCTAGGCTAAATTGCTTTAAATCTTGTCATTAAAATATCAGATTGGAAATGTATTCTACATCCTTCTTACCATCGATTACATCTTAAAAATCTTAGTCACTATAAATAATATGCACCCCATCAAGATGCAGAAGGAAAAAAATTAGTACATCAATAAAGTTGTAAATATTGAAGACAAGATCTAACAACTAACTAACCTTTCAACCACCATTTGGATTTCTGATAAATCTTCTTCTTCTAACCACTTCAGGGTGGCATCTCTATTATGTCGTAAAGTATTCAACAATTTACCCAGGTACAGTTCATATTTATTAGCCATAGTAATATAGTGTCGTTTACGTCTCGTAACTTGTATATTATTTAATAACCTTGACAATTCTACCTCCATTAATGGCAATCTTTCTAATACTGAATCATAGGCTTTCACATTCTTTAACAACTGAAATAATGTCATATAAATTTTTTCTACACAAAAATGTTGGATCTATTTGAACAACTGATGGCAAACTTAGATTAAAATTACAATGACTACCGTATATGCACAGTAACAAAGTCAATCGATGGTAGGAGTGATGCACACTATATTCTCAATTATACAAAATGACTTCACAAAATTCACGGTACAGTAATAAAACTTGCGGAGGTTTTTTAAAGAAACGATTTACAATAAGTGTCTTGCCATGTATTTAGTCAAAGGTGGTAGTATAGAATTATTAGAATAGTAAGCTTACCTTTAACCAGTCACTTCTTACATCTTCACAACTTAATATAACATCACCTAATAAACTTATACCAGCCGTATTAGCAAATACTAATCTTCTTCCTTAAATATAGAGTTCATATTATTATCAAATACTAATCTTCTTCCTTAAATATAGAGTTCATATTATAATCAAATACTAATCTTCTTCCTTAAATATAGAGTTCATATTATTATCAAATACTAATCTTCTTCCTTAAATATAAAGTTCATATCATTATCAAATACTAATCTTCTTCCTTAAATATAAAGTTCATATCATTATCAAATATTAATCTTCTTCCTTAAATATAGAGTTCATATTAGAATCAAAGACTAATCTTCTTCCTTAAATATAGAGTTCATATTATAATCAAAGACTAATCTACTTCCTTAAATATAGAGTTCATATTATAATCAAATACTAATCTTCTTCCTTAAATATAGAGTTCATATTATAATCAAAGACTAATCTACTTCCTTAAATATAGAGTTCATATTATAATCAAATACTAATCTTCTTCCTTAAATATAGAGTTCATATTATAATCAAATACTAATCTTCTTCCTTAAATATAGAGTTCATATTATAATCAAATACTAATCTTCTTCCTTAAATATAGAGTTCATATTATAATCAAATACTAATCTTCTTCCTTAAATATAGAGTTCATATTATAATCAAATACTAATCTACTTCCTTAAATATAGAGTTCATATTACTATCAAATGCTAATCTTCTTCCTTAAATTTAGATTTCATATTATTATCAAATACTAATCTTCTTCCTTAAATATAGAGTTCATATTATAATCAAAGACTAATCTTCTTCCTTAAATATAGAGTTCATATTAGAATCAAAGACTAATCTTCTTCCTTAAATATAGAGTTCATATTATAATCAAAGACTAATCTACTTCCTTAAATATAGAGTTCATATTATTATCAAATACTAATCTACTTCCTTAAATATAGAGTTCATATTACTATCAAATACTAATCTTCTTCCTTAAATATAGAGTTCATATTATTATCAAATACTTATCTTCTTCCTTAAATATAGAGTTCATATTATAATCAAATACTAATCTTCTTCCTTAAATATAGAGTTCATATTATTATCAAATACTAATCTTCTTCCTTAAATATAGAGTTCATATTATAATCAAATACTAATCTTCTTCCTTGAATATAGAGTTCATATTATTATCAAATACTAATCTTCTTCCTTAAATATAGAGTTCATATTATAATCAAATACTAATCTACTTCCTTAAATATAGAGTTCATATTACTATCAAATACTAATCTTCTTCCTTAAATATAGAGTTCATATTATTATCAAATACTAATCTTCTTCCTTAAATATAGAGTTCATATTATAATCAAATACTAATCTTCTTCCTTAAATATAGAGTTCATATTATTATCAAATACTAATCTTCTTCCTTAAATATAGAGTTCATATTATAATCAAATACTAATCTACTTCCTTAAATATAGAGTTCATTTTATTATCAAATACTAATCTACTTCCTTAAATATAGAGTTCATATTATAATCAAATACTAATCTACTTCCTTAAATATAGAGTTCATATCATTATCAAATACTAATCTACTTCCTTAAATATAGAGTTCATATTACTATCAAATACTAATCTTCTTCCTTAAATATAGAGTTCATATTATTATCAAATACTAATCTTCTTCCTTAAATATAGAGTTCATATTATAATCAAATACTAATCTTCTTCCTTAAATATAGAGTTCATATTATTATTAAATACTAATCTTCTTCCTTAAATATAGAGTTCATATTATAATCAAATACTAATCTTCTTCCTTAAATATAGAGTTCATATTATAATCAAATACTAATCTACTTCCTTAAATATAGAGTTCATATTATTATCAAATACTAATCTTCTTCCTTAAATATAGAGTTCATATTACTATCAAATACTAATCTTCTTCCTGAAATATAGAGTTCATATTACTATCAAATACTAATCTTCTTCCTTAAATATAGAGTTCATTTTACTATCAAATACTAATCTTCTTCCTGAAATATAGAGTTCATATTACTATCAAATACTAATCTTCTTCCTGAAATATAGAGTTCATATTATTATCAAATACTAATCTACTTCCTTAAATATAGAGTTCATATTATTATCAAATACTAATCTTCTTCGTTAAATATAGAGTTCATATTACTATCAAATACTAATCTTCTTCCTTAAATATAGAGTTCATATTACTATCAAATACTAATCTTCTTCCTTAAATATAGAGTTCATATTATTATCAAATACTAATCTACTTCCTTAAATATAGAGTTTATATTATAATCAAATACTAATCTACTTCCTTAAATATAGAGTTCATATTATAATCAAATACTAATCTACTTCCTTAAATATAGAGTTCATATTATAATCAAATACTAATCTTCTTCCTTAAATATAGAGTTCATATTATAATCAAATACTATCAAATTAAACTGAATTCCTATCAGAATTATTTCTGATAGTAGTTTACCTTTTAAGTACTCTCTAATATTTTCTGGATTTTCTTCATAAAGACGATAAAACATTTTGAGACAACTTCGACAATATCTGATCCCCCATAAACTTTCCCATCGTAATTCCTTTAATTCTAATCCTTGGATTATCTTTTCTCTATAGGTATCTACATCATGTAAGAAAGTCTTTGAGACTTCTTCAGATTCTCTAACATCCTTTAAATTATTTCTAAACCATGATCTGAAATAGATAACTTATGAGATGAGGCTATCAGTATAATTATGGTGGACATTACAATGATAATGCATGGTGAGCAGACAAATTTCCAATGTTTTTTTCTATATAAACTATTCTGATGAAAAGTACTAAGTAATCATATTTACAGTGACAGTTTTATTCTCAAAATGAACAGAATATATTCATCTCAATATTTGATTTCTCAAATTCAGCGAAAAAAAAAAATTCAAATCCATTCTAGGGCTGACAGGCAAAAATAATGAAAATAACGGGCTTCAAAAGTTTCACCTAACGTACAGTCAAAATAGAAATGACAAACAAACCTCAATGTTACAATTTCTCTTTTAGGTTTCTCTTCTTCTGGAGGTGGTGCTGTTCCATAATAAAAGGTCTGATTCCGATATACAGGCCTGGGAAATATTTCATCAGACTTCTCTTTCTCTACAGTATGAATATAATTTAATGGCAAACCGCATTTCTCTAGAACTTTTTCTACTGTACCTCTCACATTCTTAGTTGATAAATGTATCCTAACTTCTTTTAATTCTGAAGAAAAAAACAAACTGTTTCAATAATAAAAAACATAAATGAAAACGTTTATATTATATTTGAGCTACAAGAATACAGAAGGCATTTCAGCATATGAAGATATTTGTAATGTGATTTTCAATTCTTCCATTGAATATTTGGATAAAAAAAAATGTATTATTTGAAGATCAATGACTATAACATGCCAAAAAAACCCAATTATATTCTTCTTCAAGAACTATTGATATTGTGTATATTTTTTCACCTCAACATCCCTTCAATCTCTTTGAATAAGATCTTACCTATAGATTTTATATTTTGTGGTGGTCGAACATAAAAGACGACTCTAGTAGGTTTGACGTTATCTACTTTACGTTGTGATGTAATATATTCATGTAATAGTTTTAAGGATTCTTCATTGACTAACTGTAAAATAAAACCAGGTAAATTCTTATTCAATGCTTCAGCCAAGAAAAAAGAAATTATATTAGCCTTTCTGTGTCTTATAACTCTTCTTTCAATTTCTCAATGAAGTATGTTCCACCCTTTGCCTGATGACTGTGCCAGTGCTTTCGAGATTCCACCGGGTTCTCATCCCCTAATACCTAAGCTAATAAGTAATTGAGTGAATTTAAATTCTTTCTCTAAAATCAAATAATTAAAACTGTTCTCAAAGTCTTGAAATGAAATGGATTTTCATATCCTACTTATAGCTCAGGGTAATAAAGCTCAAGTGTACATTGAGGGAAAGTTTTGAGTTTAAAATAGCAATTTTAACATTCCAAACTTACTCTTTCTGTTGGATATTGACTAAACAAATCTGGATGAACTCTAAAATATAGCGGTCTCAGAGCAATAGCTGTCTGTTTAACACTAAGGCACCTGTGACTTAACCAACTATCTCGCAGTATTGTTATCTTAATACCATGTTTCCTACAATATGACATTAAACATGATTCTCAAGATGTGTATGTTTAAAATAGTAACTATAATTGTCAGCTTATTCTCAAGGGTAATGATGTTAATGTTAATAGTCATATGGACTAGAGACTTTTTTTTGCGTCTAATTGAAGTCAAAGTCGCGTATAATGTTATGTTTTTGGCCTTGAGTAGCAAGTCTAAAGAAGCGATTTGGCACATTATATAAAAATGGCATTTGTGTAGAGAAGAGGCAAACGTTTCAATACACATTAGAAGCACAGAAAACGACTTACCAACCACTAAACATAATTAATACGCACGAAATTTCATTTTTATTCAGACATTTTATGTTGAAAATAAAAGTTTGTTGTGCCCTTGGTACTCTTTCAGCCTTTCTTTTAGAAGAGTCGCCAGAGGGACGGTAATAGAAATATACTTCAGACTACAGCTATTTTCCCTGGCATTGTTTTGTATGCTACTGTTACATGACACCCGATAATGTCAATTTAGAACTGTTAATGGGCAACTTACTGGGGACAGACAACACTATGCGGTAGCTAAATAGGAATTTTCTGTGTCTCCTACTCTTTTCAATTTCCCACTGCCGAATTACTCGTTAAGAACCCGTTAATTGCTTTATCAGTGATACCCCGTCCGGTGGTGTCCCTATGAATCATTAGGTTAGGGACACAGGCACATGTTACAATATGTCGAATATTGATAGAAATAGGTGCCGATTAGAGGTATAGAATTTTCCAGCTAGCAGGGAATTCTCTTTACATGTACAAATGATAAATTTGAACATGTGGTGATTGGACAGCCCCCGCCCATGGCTTATAGCCCCCCCCCCCCCCTTTTCAGTAGAAAAGACACTGTCAACTTCAAGAGGGCTAACTCCACCATTTGGATAATCACGATAATCATGTGAAAATTGAGGAAAGAAGACTTTGCAAGACTAATGTCATTTATTTGTTAAAGTTTACAAGCTTTTTCTGGCAAATATTATATCACAGATTGCTGACGGATTTACAAATTACAAGAACGCGAAATGAAATACAATTAACAGTGCATGGGTGGAAATTTATATGGACAGGTTATGCCTATTCGTGTCTGTGATTCCAAACAGATTGCGACTTTGAGCAGTGACAGTTATCTATGCGACCATAGATCATATACGCTATCATTCGACAATTCTCGGCAGCTTCCGTAAAGCTCAACCTGTTGCACAGGGCTAGCGGAAATTCCAGGGAAGACCATTCGAACTTATCCATCATTAGTTTTCCAAAGGATCAGTTCCGTGAATGATTAGTCTTCATAAAATCCTTAATAATTGTAAATACATAGAGTAAAAAAAAACAAAGGTATCACAATAACAAGATTATACTTGTATCATATTAATTAAATAGTAATGACTAAGGACGGATAGGTATTTATGAAATGTAAAATAAATAATCATAACAAATAAGTTACAAGTGTATCTACTAGTAATACATGTATTTACAATTAATGACAACAAGTAATAATATCAAACAATAAATATATATAGGCACTATTGATGCAAGGATACATGAAACATTTGGTAGCGTATAAAACCCCGTCACACCGGAAAGGCGTCTTAACTGAGCTGCTACGGCGACGGAAAGTTCGCTCAGAGCGTGTTTAGGACGTCAAGTAGTGTGTATAGGAAGCGTCGGTATTGTACGGAGTGCGCTATTGTCGCATATATAGCAGTTTGAGTGCGACTGTTATAGATTTTGTAATTCTATTGGATTTTTTCTCGCGTTTATTTTACGACAAAGTCCAAATGGTCGCAATCCGGTGTGACGGGGCTGTTATAGTGGCATTAGCTTTCGATCAAATGATACAGTTGTTTACGCAAACTTGCTTTACGACATATATACCATTTTACGGCATAATATGTAACTTAAGACTATCTTGTGATGTTCTGATCTTTAACGATCAGGCCAGCAGACGGTCTCTTCCGCGAAAATGAAAACGAGAGAACGTTTGCTGAAATGATATTTTTGCAACCCAACATAGCATTTTACGTGATTTCTCTTCTGCACTCGTATCACCCCACCCCAAACCCAAGAAAAAAAATCACGTCAGACGTCTACGGACCTGCCTATGACTGCTTAAAAAATGACAATGATACGGACATGACGGCATCGCAATTAATATATCCAGGTGATTGATATCAATAAAATATGGTCTACAGTAGCTGTTTATCATCAGCTACTAGTTAAAAATAAGATGATCTTATATCCAGTTATAGAAATCAGTTGGCTGCTATTTCATGCTGAGGTGTTGGTTGGTGGCGGTGATATTCTCTTTCTTTAGATCTAAGATGTTCTGCTAAATCACTCCTACCACTTTTAATCAGAGCTGCTGCTAAAATCGAAACCTGAAATAAAAAGGCTCAATTGAAAACAGGTCCTTCAGAAATTAGAGCACCTCATAGAATTTCTGATACTTGATATCTATGCTCTGGAAATGTTAGACATTCCCACAAAATTCGCAAAATAAGAAAGACACCATATCACCAACTGATAGTAACCATTTCGGAACATCCTCTCATTCAGAAGATTAAAATGCTATACGCGAATAACATACTTGGGTGTGGATATTGCCCATTGCATGTGGAAAAAAGAAAGCTGGGTTGACAGGCACAGTTAGTCGCCGTTCTCTTCCAGAATCGTGAATATAGATATATACTGCATGTATAATGACATTAAAAACCAGAGCTCACCTTGTCTGCTGCTTTAGGAACTCGCTTTAACCACGTCATTAACATATCAAATTTAGCTTCATCAAAGGTTCTTTCACCAATGTTCATATCTCTCAATATAGATTGTAGTCTGATTCTATTAACATTGAGATAATGGGCGACTTTCTTCCATTCATCTCCGAGTTCTACAGCTAAATCTTTCATTGTATCTTCATTAACAGGATCTTTGGTATTGTGAATTTTAATTGGAGCCTTAACTGGTATAGCATTAGGTTCAATATGATACTGAAATGTGTAAGACGTTGATTTCATTAATTTGTATTCATATTAATTACTATCTTCAAAATGTCAAGTTATCACGAACTGTGTCTAATGTAATACAAAAAAGGCGTGCATTGCAGTTAAGGTATTAGGCGCAGTTAAGATTGGGATTCTAAAGGCGGCAGCTCATTTGAAGCGCCAAAAACGACAAAATGAAGATTTGGTCGATTGAACCCTTGACCATTTAGATGTTTCGACCAAGCGTTTCTAGTACCGACATAAAACGATAGATATAGGTCACTGTACCTTTGGTATGCTTATCAATAGTTCACATAATATTTCTTCTTTAATTTCGGGTGGTTTGTCTGAATCATCTTCTTGTCTTCTGCCAATTGTTTTGATCACAGCTTTTCTTTCTTTATATTTTCTAAAAACTTGTACCAAGCCACGATACATGGGGAAGTTCTTCTGTAAATACTTGTCGACCTCTGACACAGAGAAATACAACTGAGAGTGAACGTGAGTGTTGTAAGGTATACTCAAGTGAGTGTCACTTTCACCACAAGTCACATTACCCCGGAACTTCACTTCTATGGTGTCACCTTCAGATACACAGACTTGTAAAGCAGCGCTCGGTGATTCTTCGTAACCTTCTTCTGTTAATTTCTTTAACGTTTTATCTGACCTACTTGCCGGACAGACTGTTAGGGTAGCTTTGAATGGATCATCTGTTCTGAAATATAGATATTGACAATTTCAAAGCGGTTCAAAGGAGAACATAAATTTGTACGTGTGAAGCTTTTCCGTTCAATGTTTGTGGTTTCAAGTTGACTTGACCCTATTAGTATTTTCTGTAGTTATCAGAACCATGAGGGAGGGGAAATTGGAATGATGCAAATACAACATACATGTATCCCTATAAACTCAAACAAAGACCTAAAAACTTTCTTGATTTACATCTGAATCTCGGCTAATCTGAAATCCAGTTCTGTTTTCTAATAAATCAATTACTTACTTCTGTCTCAATATAACTTGGACAAATCGTTTAGCTAGATATTTACTCAATCCAGTAGCTATTGGTGGTATAGATTCTTCTGCTATATTGGTTCTGGTACGAATTACCATAAATCTGAAGATGGATATGAGAAATTGTCATTGTATATTCGCAGTGTCACCATCTCGATGTGAAGAGACTCAGGATGCATAGATATATGCACTGTTCTATGGCAACAATGTAATACTGTTCTTGAAGGTTGTCTTTATGGAAACCAATAACAAATAATACACCCATACCGCAAGAATTCTGTCCCCGCGACCTTCCAATATTATTTGGATTATGTGGCACTGTTCAGAAAACAACCAATAATGCTTAGAATTGTTCGTGGAACTACAAATTTAAAAAGACCAACCTTTCACAAGCTCGTGGAAGATTAAAGGTAACCAGATCTATTTTGGTTGACGATATTTCTACTTCTGGTTCTACAAACCATCTACCATTATTGTACATTAAGAAATGTAACAGGTCGTTTTCATCGTCTGAAAGTTAACATGAAGGCCTAGTTGAGCACTAAATCGTCATATTCGGATGCAATATACAATTATGGCTCCAGTATATAGTGAAACTTTGACAGAATCTAATCAATCGTTAGATTGACACAAGCGCACCTACGATTGGAAATATCCCAGTTGCAGACAATTGCCATCATTTGCTTCATGACCTTTGAAATATTTTCAACATACAAGTAAACCACACATGTCTAAATTTTTGCCAAAAAGCAGATTTTGAACAACAGATTTTGAAGTTGCGACTGGTAGAATATTTTCAACAAAAACCTTAGAGTATTTGATCATTCGAAGTCATTTAGATTACTAAGGATGCTGTGAGAAACTGCGAATTGTCAGTCGACTTGACCCCCTATGAATTCAACGATCATTGATCAGTTACTTGCATCTCCGAAACACTCTTATTAGCTGAGCAATTCTCTAAACAGCTAACACTGGTCTAAAATCTCACTTTCCAATCGACTACTAGTATTTATCTACTGAGTTAAAATTCATCCCGAATGACACTGATAGGTGATGATTGATTAGTCTAATCATGCAGCACAATCTGAACTTTAAAGTCACGGTTTGTTCGGAATTACTCGTATCTAACTCCATAAAAATCATCGATTTTTTAAAAAAAAATTTAGATTTGGAAACTGAGATTTTCTGATCTTCTTTGTTATAGAATTATTTGTCTGATTTAAAAAAATCTGAAAACTGAAGATTTTTAGTTCACAATTTACAAGCTAAAATCTCATACTAGGCTATCCAACTCTATGAGAGTCAACATTTGAACTATTTTTCACTAAAAGTCACAATTGCCTCGATCATCAAAGGTACAGCTTGGGTTCTAAACTATAGTAATTTTATCATCCAGACTGAAATCTTGTTTAGTGGTAATGTAAAAAGGGGCGGAATGATTTATGCCATGACAGGATCTTGTGCTTCCGGGAACCATAAATTATCACAATCGATATAAATGTCTGAGTCATCGGCTTCTTTTTAACACTATTTGATGGTCAAATCTCTAAAACTCGTCCCACGCTTTTCAATGTTATCAAAGATGTACCCTAGGTTGAAAGTCAAGACATAGGAATTGTCCATTCTTACCATCTGTGGAAGCATATTCTCCCATATACCATCTATTCTGAGTCTTCCTCATTGGTACATCATCTTCTTCTTCTCCTTCTTCAGCTTCTTTCTGTTTCACTGCTCTGTTAGCTTGTCTCTTCTTCTTCTTCTCCTCTTCTTTCTCCATCTCGGCCAGTGTTTTAGGAACAACTTTAGGATTTTTCATTTTTTCCTCTTTCATTTTCCTTATCTGTGCTAACTTCTTGGCCTTTGCTGGATTAGGAGGGCATGGCAATGTTATCTAAAAAGATCAATGTTCTATCCTTAAGTCGTACTTTTTAATTTATTCTGTAGCTTAGGTCAAGTGTCTCATACCGAAAACCGGTACTGGTATTGCAACCGATTATCTTATCTATACCAACCAACCAATCAGGAATTTTAGGTTTGCACAATACCCTTTCTATTAGTTCGCACAAAATCCTTTCGCAAAAGCCAATGGAAATGGGAATTCAGAGAAATAAAATCTAGCTATAAAACAGTTCCAATGTGATGATGGACACTTACCGTTACTGGTTTTTCTATATCACCAGAGTCCCAATCCATATGAACAATATGACTAGAAGTTAACAAGCCTTTAGCATCACTATCTCTAGCTTTATAGTCGTGTACGGAGGCAGAGTCAACTGTCTGTACCTACAATAGAACATAACTATAATCGATCATAATAAGAAAATATCATAGGTTCACATTAAAACCATAACAATTCTCTTAGCAATTAAGCTAAGGGTTACTGCTTTAGGGTTTGTATTATCCTTACTGGAAATTGAGCTCAATCTACCGATGAAGCAAATATGTAGACAATCATATCATCTGAAAACATTGATATAAGAACAACAGTCTCAGCACAAAGTAAAATGGTCAATTATACCTGTATAAGAAGATGTTGATTTTTAAAGACAGCTTCTTTTGGAAAACTAAAAGTAATGCGTTGATCAAATGATGAAACAACTTTACATGGCTTGGGAGACAAAGTAACGTAATCCTGTTTAAATCTTGACACAACCACTAAAATACCAGGTTGTTTCACTTCAGCTTGGGCCATTTTAACATCCTGTAAAATGAAAGTAATGTCAGCATGAACATTACTGCAAACCCATTTGGTAAAAAATGCCGGAATACCATTTATGCAATGACAGTCCATAATGGGTACACATCGATTTCACCTTCTGATTGATACAAATCAGTTCTGGTGTTCATTAGAACCATTCTTCTAATATCGAAATATATATATAGTAATAATAATAATATATAATAATAAGCTTACTTAAAATACATAATCTGTCCAGAAATTACTAAAATTTGTCTCCTACCTTTCTGCTTTCGAAAGAAACCTCTCTGGTGGGAAGTTCTATCCATGATCCACCAACATCTGTTTTAACAACAACTTCTCTTGATGATGCTGCTGCTCTGGTCTGGAAATGTGGGATACCTATATACACTGGTTCCTATAAACGAAATATCAAGTAAAGCGAACTAATTTTCATATGGTATATTCTAAACACACCAAAAGATCGATGAGTATGGTGGACGAGATGGTATGGAAGTCATTAAACCTTGAACTTTTGAGTCCAAAGATTTTTACAAAATGGAAGCTCCCCTTAAGTAAGTACTGTAAACCGTGTCGCTAGCGATACAAAGCTCACTAACCTTAAATTCGTCCTCATTATGGACATATTTGACTTCTATAACCTGGCTGACCAGTTCCTCATGATCATTGAACACCAAGTTAGCATCTGATTGGTTGATGACGCGACATTTGAGTAATTCTGAACCAAAGTTTTCGGGATGACATCTAACTGTACAGATTAATGGTGCTTCACCTTCTTCATCTTCGGTAGGTTTCTCTCCTGACATACTGAAGAAAAAGACATTGATTTAAATTTAATGCCCTACTAATAGCTCTTATTTTGATTTCTTACTGTACAAGGATCTTGAACGTACACAATCTGTATCCGGTTTTGGGTTTATTGTATCACCTGAACGACTGGTCGTTTGCGTTCTAAAGACTTAGCTTAGCTTATAGCACAGAAAAAGACTTACTCATATACAGGCCAATCATCTCGGTCACAGATGGGTATTTTATCAGACATACTAGCTTCCCTTCTTTTCCATTCTGCTTCTTTGGCTTTTCTAGCTAGTTCTTCTTTTCTTTCTATTTCTTCTCTTTTTAATCTTTCCTCTTCAGCTATTCTTTCCTGCTCAGCTCTTCTTTCTCGTTCCACCTTGGCTTTAAATTCTATTTCCTCTTGAATGTCTTCAGCTTCCATTCTGGCTCTTTCTGTGGACAACTGGGCATTTACTGCTGTGTTCTCGGTTTCTGCTGATAGCCGTATCGCTTCGGCAAGATCGACGTTTGCTGAGGCGACAACTGCGTTTAGTTTGGCAAGTTTTTCGGTAAGTTCTTTTTCTTCTATACTGTGGTAACCATCATCTGAAACAAAAAATTCAACCAAGTCCTAAAATTTGACTAAAACTAAAACAAAAATTCAAATGTCACGTGCACAAACATGCAGAAAGAAGTTTAGAAGGTGGATAGAATATAGATTGACATCAGAGCATTGTACATGTGTATGCATAAAATTTATCAAAGAGGCCTAGAGTTCACAAATTGTAATAAACCACTCTTGTCTAAAATTTCCAACACAAGTTTGATCATTCTAATCAATTTTGTGTGTATCCATGGTTTTGTGCCTTAAACGTGACAAAAATCGAAACATAGCGAACAAAAATTTACCATATTTGGGATTACCTTTTTTCAATGAAGATTTTACACCTTGTAAATGATCTTATTGAATGATTTGTTGTATTGATAGTAGGATATATAACAGTAAATAAAATGTCATAAATAACTGTCATTATTTAACACCTGACTGTATAACGGACAGTAAAATGTAGATAATACATATATATCACAACCTCTCTGCAAAGGGATACAATTGCCGAATTTTACTATCTTGGGGTATAAACTAGATTTAAAATCGATTTTAGCGATTAGCCACATATTTTTTTTAAGAATTTAATAAGGCATTTATGTTTATTATGTTAATTACTCTACATGATAATTAATATCATTATTACACGACCATGACCTTGACATCAGATTTTGATTTATATATATCTTGAATTTCACTCATTTCTGTTCATAATTCTATCAAAAATAATACTTACACTGTACTCGTTTATTAAAAGTTATTTCAAAAGAGCAACCCTTGTTATACGCTTTATAATTATAATAGAAGACCCAATTATAACTAAGTGTAAGTGTATATAAACTAATATAAGATTATGTTATTATATAAATTAAATATTATTATATTAAAAGTTATAAGGACTGTGCTTGAATTTCTAATTGTTATATTATTATATTGAGTTCAACCATAGAATAATATATAATTATATTTACTTACTTACCACCTAGAAATCGTTACAATATTTAAGTATCTAAGGATACATCTAAGGATGACATATATTTTTTGTTATCTTGTGATCGTTGTTTGCAATGACCCCGAGATCGAAAGTGTTTATCTTGTATTAAAAGTCAGTCTTTACAAAGTTTCATTGCTGACCCGAAGTATGAGGGTGGCCCAAAACGTTCCTAGACTGACTTAAAAGGACACATGCCACAGCAAGAACACTCGGTATACATTTGCCACTGGTGTTCGAATTCCAAAAGCTAATTGTGAACCAAGCGACGTACATTGTATTTGGAAACATTTTGAAAGTAAATATCTTAATGATTCTAACGGGGGCGAATAGTTTACCTTACAAAAGATGTTCATATTTCCTTTATGAAATGGCAAAAAATTACATCGGATGTTGCATTTTAGACCAATGGCCTCGATCCACGCCGAAAACTTTTTTGCAATTATGCCCTTGGTATTCATGATTATATTGCATTAATGTATTGATTTAGTCACTGGTATTTGAGTTTTGATTATAGAGTGTCTGTGTTAGCTTTCTATGTTTTATTTGGAAGGATTATAACGTTGGTACTTGAAAACCTTTATTAGATTTTGTCCCCTATTCAATAAGTACATAGTATTATAGAACACAAAGTTTATAGTTCAGGTTAAACAGTCCAAAACCCACTTGAACTCATAAAATTGACCATTTCTTTTGATCATTTATTTAACTCGATCTATATTACAGAGATTTTCTTTTAAGGACATCTCCTTTTATTGCTGTCTTTCTTAAAGTGGCAATCTCAGAAGATTTTTGAAAAAAAAAAACAATTTTTTAAGTTAATTCAAGATGTATTTGTCAAATGTCACTCATAGATTGTAATTGGTACAGTTGTATCGAAGGCATTTCAATTTTGGATATTAAAGTCAATACAATTTTGATTGACAGGCAATGTTTTTCTATTATTATATTTTCGAATTGCAAACAAAAATAAACGCCGCTGAAATTTTTTTGTACAGCAGTCAACTTCCCTGTGATGACCACATGTGCAAACAAATCAAAAATATATAGCAAATGGAAAAACTGGATAAGGGATAAAGTATGTTGTACTATCATGAAAAACTAAAGGCTACAAATCATATTAGTATATTAATTCATTCATCTGAAATGTACAATCGTCACGTACACACGTACTGCTCTGAATAATATAAATTAATTATATTTCTTATAGTCATTAAGGTTTCTATCTATTGCCATAGCCTATAAAACATATGCCTATAACTGATACAAAAGTGTGTTCAAAGGGCTGATTCTCATAAAATCTGATCGAAACTGTAATCACTTTGGCGTTCACGTGGTTATTGCAACGTTATGTGAGATAAAGTCTTTAAATCAACATCTATATGCCAAGAACAGCTAATGAATCTGACTCACAATCATCAAAGTGCCTACTCTGCAGTCCGCGTTGAATTAAATTAAGGAAAGATCACTCGAAACGATTCCATCCTTTCTTAGTCATTTAGGCCTTATATTGAGCAATTTTCAAATCCAAATGGAATGAAAAAGGCCACGAGTCTGCGTTCTGTCTATCAATGCAAGATGTTACTGACAATTAAGCTTCGTAAAAAGACTAGATTAATAGATTAAAGGTGGCTGACTGATGAGCCAGATTTCATATTTCTGTGTTGTAAAGATCTAAACATAATCACCATTTTTTGATATCGATAAGCCTGCTGCTTATTTTGGCCTTTTATATGCAAATCATATACCTGCCGAAGTAAAAAAAAAATAGTGTCCAAAAAGTAGTTTTTATCTGATATTAATTTTGGGAACAAAGCAGTGACTCACCTCTTGTAACTAAAGAATATATCCAAATTGATCCAATTAAGTGGATTTCAACTCAAATATGAACAGTGTACGTTTTTTTTTTCATAGAATAAATCAGAGGGCTTTATATTGAACAATAAATGAAGTTTTTGTATTGAAATGAAAGGGTCATTGTGAATGGTTTAAAACCTGTTTGAGAGGGGTGTATATTATAATAAAGAAAGTTTATAGTAGCTAGGTGACACTATGTTATGCATATATGTTTGTTATTATTACTCGTTATAATGTATCATACATATTATTGACACCAATTTCTTTTCGAAAAATAGGACAGCGAATTCAAATTAGTTTTGAGGCTTAAAAACACAGAGACCCAGTATCCATAGACTTACTTAACACGCTCTTTTAGAGACGTTTATTCAAAGGGGCGCAACTCGTATCTACAAACGTGGTCAATTCAGCCGGCGACCAGTGAGTAAGACTTTATATTTGATAAGGTATTATGGAGTCAATAACGCTATATTCTTAAGCTGGGATTAAATAATGAAATTATTCTGAGATTATAAAATATAAGGGATCTGAACAATTTCTCGTCAGAATAGTGGGACGACGTGAGAAGAGGGTAATAGAAATGACATACCTTCTTGTATTTGAAATGCTTGACGCGTTACGCTCATTCGTACATTTTCTTTCACTGTCTTCATTCTGTTCCTCAAGTCCTCCAGATGCTGTTGGGAAGCTGCAGTATAAGCTTTATAATCTTCAATAGCTGATGAAATCTCAGATACTACTGATATCAGATCATCCACAGGATAATCGGTTTCAACTTTAGTAAATTTTGGAGAGGAAAATAATTCAACATAATCACTGATACTGGAATTAAACGTCTTTATATCAAATTCTCCGGGGGGAATCCTTCTAACTGTTGCTGATACACTTCGCGCTTGTCGAAGAGGTTGCTCGGTCGGCGACTCTGCTCGGTTGACAGTATAGCTGGTGATGGACGATTGAGACGCGGACGATGCAAGACTGTTATCTGACAACCTCGAGGAAACTCTTGATTCTTGTTCCTCATTGTGGGTTTCCTTCTTCACGATTTGTGAGCCCTCAGTACCGCTATCGTTTCTTTTAGTATCAGCTTCATTTGGTTCCGGATGTGGTTCATCTGAATGTGTAACTGCTCTCAAAATTGGTTGAGGCTTTTTGATACTATTTGACGACTTCTTTACATTAGTACTGTTTCCAGATTTATAAACTTTTGCTTTCTGTGTTGGCTGTTTCTGGTTGCTATGGTAACTGTGTTTATTTGGCCTGGAAGGTGTTTGTGGTTGCCGCACACCATGATGGGAATGATCAACTGATTTTCTTTCAACAGGCATTTTGATTCATTTCATCTAAAAAATAAAACATAAATAGGATTAGAATTCTCATTGTCAATTTTTCGCACTTCCTTGTAGATAAATAAATGTTATCTAAATTAGAAATTAAAATCTAGTATTTTTTAGCCATTAATCGTGGATTTAACCCAAAAATATCTACAAATAGATATTATCAAACTGTCACCTCTCCATAAAACTACAGTTATCGATCAATCAAGTTGTGTTTAAGAGACCTCTCAAGTCGTTTGTTTGTTTTAAACCGTTGTAAGTGGCCCTCAGATATCTTATTACCTTTAGTATGGCTTTGTCATTGAAATTAAAGAAAATTTTAAAGCTCGAAATTCTTTTTGTATTTTTTTAGAAAAAAGGATCTATCCGTGTTGTCAAGTTTCATTACAACAGTAAATCATGCATGAAATTCGCAGATTTTTGTCTGCCTTAAACAGGAAAATTTATACTCTGATACAATAACGATAGTCTGGATTTCGAGATATTTTCTATGAAAATCCATGTGGTTTTTCTTGAATCCTCGATGACGTAGCGAATAATCTGAGGATTATGAAGTAATCATTACTTATACAGCACGCATTAACATTGTCGGGTAACTAGATACCCCATAGAACTCAATTATATTCTCTGTAGATAACCTTATCGTGAAAACGTATAATTATAATATGACATGATATATCAAATATTTTAAGCTTTGAGAGAGTTAATAACACTATGCATTATATCACGTCACCTTCGATTGACCTTGACAGCATGTAAATTGTATTAGACAATTGCTTAGACAATACATAAGCACGAGTATATTTTAGTGGTATTAATAAGTAAAGGAACATATTAAGACTCCTTTTTAATTTAAACCTCTTACAGTATTGTCATAAATGTTATTAACTTCGTCTAAAGGCAGGATAAACCGATACTCCCTTGGTAAATAACTGTATATTACCAGAACTACTCTTTCTACCACGTTGATAGCTTTTATAGGTATATCAGTCATAGTAACTTAAAAATAGGATTGGTAATACCTTTAAACCTATTATTATTTATCAATATTTATCACTGTTTATCAATATTTATCAATATCACCATAGCGTTAGGGATATGGAAATATTGAATTCTTACACATTTTTGTTCCCCTTGATTAATTCATAAGTCTCTCAAATCTGCCCATTATATAGGTTTGTTGTAATTTGACTTTGATTTTGAATATCTATTTGACAAAAGCTCATTCTAACGTTGGCAATGGAGAGGGGAGGTTATATAATTTTTGTTGTAATGAAGCTGAAATAACACAGTTACCTTGACGTTAACGTCAGATTTATGGCAACTGGCCCCCTGGGTTGAAAAATATAAATGCATAAACAATTGATAAGATAGCATTGTTCACGTGTTGCGGATATAAAATAGTCGCCAGGACAAAAATAAAAACACTGTACAAGACTCAAATCTAATTTATAAGATCTAACGTGTTTCAAATATATAATTCTCATCCGATCAAATGAATCCAACGAAGAAGATTTAATTCTGAAAGGTGAAGGTGCAGTGCAGTGTGTCAAATAATTATGAATGAAAGGAGATTATCGACATCTAATCGATACATTCATACAGTTAATGATAAATTAAACAGATTCATATAGATTATATATCAACTTTCCCTCTACAGTCAATATTTCATCTGCTATGATTGATATTTCAACAATGATCATATGGCATATTTCAATCTGATATGGTTAAGTGCATGTTACAGCTGTTGATGAAACATCAATTTCTCTCAATTTAATCCTGTTTTCAAACATTAATGAAACAATATTCATCTCCTTTTCAAATCTGTTTTAAGTGAATTGAAGTGGACAGCATAGCGTGAAACTCTGAGTAACAACATGATTCAAGTTCTGTTTTAATATTTGTAAAGTGGATAAAACGTTTTAGCCCTTCGCCTTAAGAGCGTAAGATACACTTTCAACAGCCAATATAGTAATCAACCCCGAATATGGCGAAAAATGGCCTTTTTAAGAAGTGACTTGTTTAGGTAAATGTTCTAGATATATGATAATAATCTAGGTCTAACCTACAACTATAAACTATTATAAATATTTCTACGTTATTAATCTTCTACATACATAACTAACATAGAACAAATATTTCATCAACGAAGAAACACGAATCTTGAATAATAATTTATTTTTTCCAGATAAAGTGTTTCAAACGTGGATTCTTTTTTTTTTATTTCAGCAGCCAATGAAACTCAACTATTTACCGGATACCCACTTTACACTCACTTTACAGAATGACAATCGTGTTCTAATATACATCAGAAATCCCTATCAATAAACGCAATCTTGAAAATTCAGGTTACATTTTGTTAAAAAAAACATGCCTTGGGTAGCTATCAGTTCTTGAAATTATTAAAAAAAAAGAAATAGTAGAGTATATCATGAGTACCAATGAGTATAACATGTATATTTCTCAATTGCTCTCTTAACTGATATATTCAGCACATTTTCAACAGTGAAAATCGTTTTTATTTTACAGTCGAGAAATGTAAGAGAGCACATCAAATTACTAACTGATGTTGGATGAAATATTGTTGGAAATCCAACTAAAGCATAGACGTCCGATATACTGATTATAAGTCTTACATTAATATTAATTAGAATATTAATCAATATGATATATTTTTTTCAGATTTTAAACCAAAGAGGGAAAAAAAATCATACATTGATATTTCAAATCCCATTGGTCCTATGAAATTTGCAGAATTCACAATTAAAAGTAAATTGTTCACAAACCTGAGAGAGACTTTGATCCTGATTTGACTAAAATCCCAGTAAAATAATAATAACTAACAATAAGACGACAGTATAGATAATACCAGTCAATAATCCACAGTAAAGTATATAAACAATAATCTATGGTTAATATACCAGATACATAGTATTGATATAGCCAAGATTAAACCATTCACCATAGTATATTCTAAGTCTATTTATTTACCATATAATTTACATAGACACACCCATTTTTAAAGTTACTTGTGTCTTTGATGAGTTCAGATCAAAGGATATTGAGTTATTACAAAATCATTATCAAAATCTCTTAGATTTCAAATTATGCGGAGGTAATTTCAAATTTCCGGGGATTCAATNTAAAGCATCAAAAATA